TATCCTTGATCTGGGTTGCTAGTCCCAGTTCCATCTCTGCCTTAGCCTTCCTAACAGCCCCCCTACAATCTCGAGCTAAGGAGGTATAGTCCTCCCTGGTGATGGCCCCTCCCTTGCATTGGGTGTATGCCTCCTTAGCTTTGAGACGTTCCTGGATGCTTTTGGTGAGCCATGGGGAATTTTGAGCATTCTTGCCCCCTTTGATCCGTGTTGGGATTGTCACCCTCTGGGCTTGGAGGATCATCTCCTTCAGGAACAACCACTCTTCTTGGACTCCCAACTCCTCCCCCTTCCAGGACCTCAGAGCCTCCCCAACTAGTCTCCTTACCTCATTGAAATCTGTTTTCCTGAAGTCCAGGGCTGCTGCCTTGCTGCAGGCCTTTGACACCCTGCACTGGGTGGTGAATTCCAGTAGGCAATGATTGCTATCGCCCAGGTGACCAAGCACCCACAGTCCCCTCACCAGGTCATCGCCTGTGGCCAGGACTAGGTCCAACAAGGCATTTCCCCTGGTGGGACTGTGCACCTCCTGGGTTAGATGGAGGTCCTGCAACTCAGCTAGGAACCTACGTGAGTGGTCAGACCTGGCTGACTACTCTTCCCAGCAGATGTCTGGATAGTTTAGGACACCCATGATCACCACTTACTTTGACTTAACTGGCTCTGCAAGCTGACCCGAGAATTCTTGGTCTAGCTCTTCTCCCTGGTTGGGTGGCCTGTAGTACACACCCACCGTTAAGTCCCTTTCCCTCCGACCCCCTTGTATTCTGACCCAGAGCACTTCAGTCTTCCCCTCCTCTGTCCCAGTGTTGTTTGTTGAGGATGTGTATTGCTCTTTGACATAGAGTGCCACACCCCCACCTTTCCTCCCTGTTCTATCCCTCCTGTACAGCCTATAGCCCTTGATGTTCACTGCCCAGTCATGCTTTGGATCCCACCAAGTTTCAGTGAGCCCCATTATGCCTGGGTTTGTGTTAACTAGCAGGAGGGCAAGTTCCTCCTGCTTGTTCCCCATACTATGAACATTGGTGTAAGGCATTTAAGGCCTCCTGAAGATGCATGCACCACCCCCGTAATCCCAGGACTATCCAGGCCCCTGTCTCTTACCTGGGTACTTCTTGTGCTCATCGCCTGTCTTGGCTGGGCTGTTCTTGTGGGTGACTCTTGGTTCGGTGTTCTGTGGCTCCCTCTGTCCTCATCCTCCCCTTCCCCCAACGAGCCTAGTTTAAAGCCCGCCAGGGAGGTGACAGTTTCCGTTCCCCCTGTCGCAGAGCACTTAGGTGCCCTGCTCCTAAGAAGGGAGAAAACTGATAAAGCAAGAACCCAAGCAGTGAGTAATGAGTCCAGCTGCTGGTTAACAGGGCAACCAGAGGAGGTCAGCTGACCAGAAGGGGCAGGGCCTGGCTCCCATATAAAGCCCAGGGGTTGAGACCGGGGAGCAGTTCCCTGCCAGTGGCCAAGCGGGGAAGGAGCTCTCTCAGGGAAGAAAGGGGAAGCCTGATTGCAGGAGCAGCATTTGACACTAAGGACCAGGTAAAGGATGGAGCCTCCATGGGGTGTTTTGAGTAATGCCGTTATAGCTGGGTGGCTTCCGTTTATGTTATAGCCAAGGGGCTCATGTTTTGTTTACTGTTTAAGACTGGTGGTTTGAGTGAGGCTATTAGGGGATGGAGGCGGCCTCATAGGGGATCCACAGTAGTGTGGGGACCCCAGCGCCAGCAAGGGCACAGCATTCGGGGTGCACTGACCCCAGCCCGAGAGAGGGGGGCAGTTGAGAAGCCCCAGAGAGGGGGCGCTGATGAGAAGCCCTAGCACGGGTGTGATGAGCCCCAGAGATGGGGGCAGCAAGAAGCCCCAGAGAGGGGACATTGGCGAGAAGCCCCAGTGCGGGTGTGCTGAGCCCTAGAGAGGGGGCAGCATTTGAGAGGCCCTAGAGAGGGGCCCACATTTTGGAGAAACCCCAGAGAGGGGGCGGTGATAGAAACCCCAGAGAAGGGGCAGTGAAGAGCCCCAGAGAGGGGGCAGCATTGACGAGTGCCAGAGAGGGCGCAGGGTGAGACCAGGGCTGCGCAGGGCCCAGAGAGAATAAGAGGGCCATATTATAACAAGGCCATGACCAAACAACGTCAATTCCATCTGCGAGGCTTGGGGCGTGGGTAAAGGGGTGGTTGGAGCCACGCATAACCCATAAGGCTAGGGTGCCCCTGAAGCACCCATTGCAGATTGGGGCCCACAAGGGGTCTGGGAGTCCACAGGGTCAGATATTACAACAAACCGTGTCCAAGAGGACATAAGGCAGCCTCCCATATATTTATTCTCCATCAAAGACGTGGCAGGTGAGAAGTGAGGGTGCCCTTTGGGCCAACTTGGCATGGAAAGGGGGCCTTGGGGAGATCACTGCCATCCTGCAGGACCCCGCACCATGACACCCCCATAACATCTTCCACCATCATTAGCTTGCTCAGTCCAAACTTTCTCTTCTGCTGAGCAATGCTTAAAGATGTTTCATATTAAAAATTGCTGACAACATAAAAGAAAAGTTGAATTGATTCCTGAATTGGAAATAACTGTGTAGTCACTGTAGGCAAATGATGACTTCTTAACGGTGACCAATGTCCTTTGGCCTGAACTCTCCTCCAGTCTGGCCAACGCTCCTCAAACAGGACTCAGTCATTCTGGTAATGACCAACTCTTGTTAATGCCATATCTGTTATACGGTTCTCTGGTGAGTAATGCAGCTTGTCAAAGAAGAAGTTTTTCTGGAACAGGAAAACTTTTAGGTGGTTCTCCAGTAGCAGTCTCTCCTCTGTACTTTCGCTCCCCAAACACTCAGTGCCTGGGAACCACCCCAGTACTTTCTCTCTCTCAGATGTTCTGCCAGAAGAAATATGATACCCTTGTCAGCTCCTGCTGTCACATTCTCTTGCCAAATTTCTTTAGCTATTTACCTTGCCCCATCCTGTGTGCTCACCCCTAACTGATTTCTTCAATGCTCCAAAGCTACACCATCTCCTAGTCAGTGCTTTACTGCCCCATCTCCAACCATGCACACATCAGTGAGCTCTTCAACTTCATTGTATCATGCAGGTGAGCAATAATACATAAAATATGATCCACCTTTTCCTAAAACCAGTTCTCTCTGTCCTAAATTAATTCAATTCAATGTTGATCTAACATTTAAAATCTTTGTCTTCCCCAATTGGCTGTGCTAAGCATGGAGAATAATACCTTTACTCCATATAAGAATCCTATAAACATAATGCAGTTCTGGCCAATGAAGTTGTGACTTTCCTCCCTGCCATAAATTATTCTCTTAGAATACCCACTGGGGAATATAAAGACCATTTGAATTGTTCTGTGGCTATTTTGCCTGTAATTTTGGGGGCACAGAAATATTTCAGATTTTTACTATTCTTTTCCAATCAAGAATATATGCATTGTCGTTACCAAAAAGAAAAAACAGAATTAAGAGAAGTTCTCTTTACTTCGTGAATTTTTCAGACCCATTCTCTGCCTGTGGAAGTGAAAAGGTTAATTCTGTTTTTGGAGTAACAGACATGTCTTTTGATTTAAGTAGCCTTGAACCCTCTGAAATATTGCTTGTTAGTAGACATTAGTCCAAATCAAATAAGAAAATATCTCTGTGTCTGATACCACAGAAAGTGATCTTCAAATGATAGTTTGAACAGTCACCAAAGATTGATTCTTAGATTGATTATCTAACTCAGGAGATATATCTCATGTACTCAACACATCTGTAGAGGAAGGAGCATCTGACACTGCAGAGATTGCTTGAGTAACTGTAAATTTATCAGATTTACAGACTGCATTCTATAATTTAATCTATATAAAGGACCTGGGGCCTGGCTAGTCTTACAAAGAGAGATCAGGCTCTGTGCTGTGAAGGTCTCTGATGGTGGCCTTGGCTTGTTTATAAAATGAATGCTTGGTTTAGTAGATCATTCATCGTCCATGCAAGCTGAACCTTCCCTGTTCATTAAGAACCACACACACACACACACACACACACACACACACACACACACACACACACACACACACAGACCTAGTAACTCTTTGCTGTTTCAGGGTCTCTCTAAGATACAACATCTGGCTTGATATACAGCAGAGCAGCTAGGATTGATCCCACAGCTTAAGTCTGACATTTGGCAGGAGCTGAAATTTACAATTCTGTAATCTGAGATGTGAAATAACTGTAAAGGTTAAAGCAGCCTTGGAAATTTTTAGTTGCCGTTTCACTCAGGAGAGCAATTTTCTTGACCAGATAGTAAAATATAGAGTTTTTCATTAACAACACTACTGTTGTTTTCAAGATAAAGGATGCTAACGGAGATTTAATGTTTGATCTGATAAAATTTCCAAGATGGTTTTGTAGGCTGGGTTAAACTGTGTTATTATTTTGCCTTTTAAAAATAGAATGGAAAAGCAATCCCTATCTCCACCTACTGCAAACTTTACTAACTATACCACTAGTGACCACTAATTTGAGTACACATACTCAGGCTTTTTTTCATTTAATTTCTACCAATCATGTTCTAGACTTGAGAAACTGGTTCTACTCCCTAAAAGATTTCAGTGGTAAAAATTATTTTGCTTTTAATTTTTTTGAAGTTTGCTGCCACTTATATAGAAGTATGGCTAAAGAAATTAGACCCATCGGGTCAAATGTTATGTTAGCTCTTGAGCTGATAAAAACTCCATGGAAGTCAATAGAAAAATCTCTCCTTGGTTTCCATAGGTTTTGGATCAGCTCTTTTACTTAGTATGACCTTCACACAATAAGGCAATATTATAAATCTTAATTCGGAACTACAGTACCCTTCTATTCATTCAGAGTGTTCACAGTAATATAGGTATTTAGGGATTGCCAAGGGAATTTGAGCGTACTTACTATTTGGTTGTTGGCTCATTACCAGTAGATGCTCCTTCATAAAGAGATTTTTCAATATTACCAATTTATGGTTCTTCTCCACCAACAGGATTCTGAGAAGATGCAGCGATTTAAAGATGCAATCACAGCTCAAACTAATTACACTATTTTGGTGAGTAAATTGTTGGTCTTCCTGACTAAGAACTAGCCAGTTTTAAAACAAAAAACACACATGTAAGTACATAAGTTTCAAAACTTCAGATGTCTCTGAATATGGAGGTATCAGTGTCCGACTTAAGAAAGGCTTTTTTACTATCTAATCTATCCTCCAAAAAGACATCTGGTTCCATCTTCTACTATTTCCCTTCAATAAATACTTACTAGGATATAATATGGCGTAAGACTAGACAGTACTTCATAAGATAATGTTCTTTAGTTTACATTATATCATGACTTTTGGGTATTGTCACAGAAAATGGTATTGTGTATCTGAAATAAATCACAGACAAACTGTGATACTGAGTGGCATTTATAATATAGTAGCACCTGGAAACCCTAGTCATGGATAACAGAAAAACCAGCCCTGCCTCAAGGAGCTTAAACAGGAGGGCTCAGGTAGAGAGACAGAAAGAACAGGGAAGTAATTAAACAGCCATCTGTTTCATTTCCTTTATTCAGCACAACATTCATTCATTCATTCATTCAAACCACTGCAAACCAGAACAGTAGCAATATCACCTACCTTTAACTGCTGTTTGTTATCCACCACAAACATTAACCAAGAAAGAAGGAAATGGGGTACTCTAAGATAATGGGCCAAGTACATTTTAAGGGGTGTTGCAGGAAACAAAAATGGCTATTCATAAAGGTAATAAGCCTTGCCTTTCTGTAACTCCACACACACACACACACATACACGGCTGGAACCAGAGGTGCAAAATGCAGCTCACTCCAAAGCTCATGGGCATCTACATTCCAAGTTTGGGTTCATGTAAATCTAACACACTGATAATAACTCTTCTAAAATTAGCTACTGGCATATATCCTTCATGGGAATTATGGGGCCTCCTCATTGTGTGACATAACTAGATGGAGTAGCATTGGCCTCAGTGTTGTTGCATCCATGTTTCCCCATAGGAATCTGTCCTTGATGGTGGAATGTATTCCAAAAGCTGATTGAGAACATATATGTTAAATAGTTATTAACAGCAAATAATGATTACCGGATTGTCCATCTTAACTATTGTTGTACAGTATGTGCTATACTATACAATAAAGAAGGGGATTCCCCAGTGAAGAAATCACCTTACTAGGAAAACAGTTTCTGTTGATTATAAGTGAAGCAGCTCAGCCTTGGTAATAGTCTACCTCCTGCATGTCAAGACAAAGCACTGACTTACGATACTAACAACTTACTCAAATCACTTATGAAATTAATCACTAATAACAAGTGGCTTTGATACAAAATTTACCACCGTTGGTTTTGCCTCAGTCTATTACAAATTTAATGTAAACTCTTGGCCATGATCATTACTGATTACTACTTAACCATTCACCATTAATGGTTTTCCCAAAAGTAAAATCAGTCTGAGGATGATGAAAAGCAGTATGTGAGCAAGGAAGTATTCTTAAGTCTGGTGAATGGAGAGAGGAACAAGGAAGTATAGTTTTGTAGTTAAGACACTGTACTGTGATACAAGAAACGGGATCACCTTCATCCTAAACAATCTGCATGTTTTACCTCAAAGTAACTACACATAAGCTATGTCAAAGTTAAATCACAAGCAAGGAAGGATACTTTAAGTATACTGCAAGGTAATTTGCCATGGTCAAAGTCATACCCACCTTAGTATAGCTTGCACTAAACTGTGCCTAGTCTTTAGCTTAGACATGGCTTTTTAAACCTCTAAATAAAAAACAAAACAGCTTTTTAGCAGTGAAGACAAGTCACTAATTCATGATCCTATTATTAATTCTGTATCGTAGTTCTCCAGCTGTAAGAAAAGGTATATAAATACTTCTTTCCCTCCACCAAGAGTCTGTCAATCTTCATTTAGTTGAAAAATTTTTCAGGACAGGAACTGTTTCTCATTGTGTGCATGCACACAGAGCGATCTATGTCAGTAGGGCCTCTGAACACTACCTCAACACAGATAAATAATACCCCCCCTACACAAATTATCAAAACATGTTCAATAACTCATTTTCAGTCCCACAAAATTTTATGAAATCTAGGTCATAACTAAAGTTGCTTTGGAAATTTTATTTCTGGCTTCCCAAACTTTTATGGAATTATAATTTCAGCCTCAACAGTTCTTTAGCATACTTAAAAAATGAGGAAGGATTAATGTTGATACATTCTTTAAGATATTCTGGAATTTAACTTCAGATGTAAAAGAATTCCAATCATATTTCTATCACTTAGGATTTCCTTTTTCATATGAACATTTAACTGATGTGCCTTTAAACTTCGGAAAAATCAGAGTCAATATTTACACTGATTAAACTTATATTTCTACTACATATACACAGCCCTGAAAAAAACCAAGAGCCCTACCTCATAAAACAAACAGCAGTTTAGTGATTTTGTTTTCCCTTGCTAGGGCTTACCAGCAGCATTGCTATCTTAAATGTGGAGCCCTAAAATTCAATTTAGCACAGTTTTTTCTTGTGTGTTGACTCACAGTTTATTTCGTTAGCCTGTCTCGGTTGCTCTTCAGACACGACATTGATCTATGTTGCAAAAATGTCATTGCTAACAGCCTTATAAATCTTGTGGGATTGCAAAATATTTCCTTTGATCACCAAGTCAATTTCCTTCAACAGGAAAAACCAGGTAACCAGTACTGTGCTGTATGCTCATTTTCCCTCCATCTCTGACCTGTGTGCCCTAATGCCCATATAGACCCCCTTACCGAAGGTTACACTTTTTCTTATGACAAACAGTACTCCCTAGCCCTTGCATCATTCACCCACTCATATGTTATTACAATACTTCCCTTAAGAAGAAAAAAAAAAATTCTCATCTTTAAGTCCTGCCATTTTGCCTTCTTCCCGATTTCCTAGACCTTCCAGTCCTTGTGGGGTCTGTACCTCTTTGGCCATCAATTCTGATTGAAATGTTCTGCATCTAAATAATATATACTTCCTATAGTATTTCAGATAGTCCATCGGTGATAAGCAGGGATCCTGGTTTTCTCCAATTAAAAATTGCAAATTCAATGATTAAAAACCCCAAATCCGTGATAAAAAATAAAGGCCCCCCACAGCCCCCACCCCTCACCCAGTGTTGTGGAGGGGAGTGCGGGGTACCAGCAGTCTCAACAACCCTCCTAATGCCCCTTGCAACAGCCCCCCAGACATGCAGACACAGACACTGACACCCACCCCAGCAGATAAGTGTGTGTGGGGGGAAGAGGCAGGGCAGGGCAGGGGAAAGGGAAGGTGCTGGGTACTAGATCAAGAAGGGGGGGAGTGTGCCCCTGTGCCCACTCCCAGGAGCGGGGCCAGGGGGTGAGGGCAGGGGTGCCACTCTGTGGGCCACACACATGCTGGCCTGACAGGAGATTCGCACACAGACGGAGCCATCACAACTCTGCCACTGCACCCTGTGCTACCATCCCACAGCCACGCGCATGGCTTTGTGGGTAGGTGGCGCAGGGCACAGCAGCAGTGCAGTGGCAACCACCGTGTGCGGGCCACATACGTGCCACCCGGCCGGGAGGTGAAACAGGGGGCTTGCATGCAGCGGCATGCGCATGGCTTTGTGGGTAGGTGGCGCAGGGCACAGCAGCAGTGCAGTGGCAACCACCGTGTGCGGGCCACATACGTGCCACCCGGCCGGGAGGTGAAACAGGGGGCTTGCATGCAGCGGCATGCCCTGCAACTGGCTGCACAGCTCCACGGTGGTGTGGGGTGGTGGCGGCTGCATGCAGGCTGGGGGGGCTTTGTGGGCAAGCGCTGCCACCATGGAGCCATGTCCTTTACCCCTGGATCCTAGAGGTAAGAGGGGCTTGGGAGTTGTGGGGCAGGGCTGGGGAAGATGGTTGGGGGCTGACGGAGTGCAGGGGGCTGCCAGCTTCAGGCGGCACATCGCAGCTGGGAGCAGGGCCAGGGGGTGAAGGCAGGGGTCAACGCTGGCACAAGCGGCCCCACAGGTAGGTGGCAGCGGCTGCCCGTAATGGAGGTGATGGCCGCTGCCTGCTAAACCTCCTGCTGCTGCCATGGAGCTATGCCCGGAGCTGCACAGCTGGCGGCAGCAGTGCAGGGTGGTGTTGGGGATGCCTGTGCGCCACCCAGCCACCACCATGCTGCCACTGCTGCCCAGCGGCTCGCTGCACAGCTCCAAGCATGGCTCCACAGCGGCAGCAGGAGGTTTTGTAGGCAGCGGCTGTCACCACCATCATGGCCCTCCAGGTAAGCGGCAATGGCCGCCACGTGCAAACCCAAGCCCCCACCCTCTCCTCCCCCACCCCTCCATCCCTTGCCATGGCTGCAGGCTGGCCATGGAGCTGTGCTCCAGCTGCATGTGAGCTTCCCTTCCCCTCTCCCCTGGGCATGTGGCCGGGCGGCATGTGTGCGGCCTGCACATGGCAGGTACCACTACACTGCGCCCCACATCACTTGCCCGCAAAGCCCCTCCACAGAAGGGCACCCCTGCCTTCACCCCCCGGCCCTGCTCCCAGCTGCAATGTACTGCCTGGAGCCAGCAGCACCCCGCACTCCGTCAGCCTCCAACCATCTTCCCCAGCCCTGCCCTACAGCCCCACTTACCTCCATGCTACAGGGGCGAAGGGCGAGTCTGAGCCTGAGCCCAAGCCGGTCCTTGGCTGCCTCAGAAGCTCAGGCCCCACCCTCCCTGCTCTCCCTCCCCCTCCAGCCAGGGCTGGGGGTTTCCCCACGCTTTTTGCAATTGGCTCTTGCAGGCTGGAGCTGTGCCAGCCTGCAAGAGCTCATTGCAAAAGTGGAGAATCTGCGGATTTCTCTGCTAAAAAGAGAAATCCGTGTTTTCTCCGATAAAAACAGGGAATCCATGGTTTTCATCATTTTTCTGTGGGAAATGGAAAACTGGATCCCTAGTGATAAGTAACAGCAGTAGTGTAAATAGGGTGGAGCAAGCAGGGCACCAGCCCTGGATGCCACCTGTGAAGGACACCACAATTGTCCCCCCATGTCTCTTTGCCACAGCAGGGGCAGTCCTGTGCTGTCCCTGCCTGATCATAGGAGCCAGGCAGGGTACCACCACACCAAGCAGTGTATCTTGGGGACAGGTGGCAAATGGGGAGAGCAGAATGGTATCCCCCCAACCCAGGGAGCCTTTGCCAGAGCAGGAGCAGCCTGTATGTATTGGAGGCGTGAGGGAGGAGTGAACTAGGCAACGGGGTCAGCTCCCAGCGCCAGAGTGGAGCTGAAGCTGCTACAGCAACAGCAGCAGTAGCCGGGGAAGGTAAGCCTTCCTTTACCCTCACCCATGTCTACTCCCTCACCCCATCTACAATAGCCGGCATATCCCTGTGCTTCCAACCCTCTCCTGCCCCTGGTGCTCAGTGAGCTGACTATGCCTCTGAGTAACAGGGTTCTGTCCCACATTAAGTCTACACATTTCCCACCATTGGATAGGATTCCAAAACATTTTTTGATGGTGTAGCTCATTCAGATCACTACCTGGGCACTTGTTCCCAGGGGATATGATACACATTACATACAGAATGGTTGAAAAGTGTGTTTGTTATGGTACTGTAGAGTTAACATTTTGGATGTGTGATCAGAACCTTGGCAAAACCAAATTGCTGGCCCTAACAGAATCCAACCAAGAATTGCAGTATGCTTCAGGGTGGTGGCCAGAGGCATAGCAGGATAACTCTGCCAGGGCAACTACAATGCATGAGCAGCAGGGACTGTAGGGGCAAATTGCTGCGCTGCATTCAGCTGTCACTGTGGTGGTAGAAGCTATATTCTGAGTGATTTTCAAATACCTTCAGGACATTATTCTACACAAACCAAGGTTCTTATCTCTAACCAAGGGAAATCATAGCAACAGCTGAGCACATTGTCAATTTAAACTTGTTTTCTGTTCTATTGTGCATAGGCTATTACTGGAATGGCAATAGACAATCACTTGTTAGGGCTAAGAGAGATGGCACGGGAACACTTCAAGGAACTGCCAGAGATATTTATAGATGAGACATATTTGACAAGCAATCGATTTATCCTTTCAACCAGCCAGGTAAGTGTTGCAAATTCACTAATCTTGCTATACCAAGACTCCCTGTTAGAGAGCTAATTCATTTATAGTTAGCTGATTTTATAGTTCACAATGGGAATGGCAGCTTTGAAACAACTTGAGGGTGGTATGAATAGCTGTGAAACATTTTCATTACCTGATTTTCATTACCAAGTATTTTTCCATAGCCAAATTTACATAACAAAAAATGGCTGAATTTTCACTTCTCTCTATCCCAAAGCTTTCCCTGGCTGAAGCCTAATACTGAACACAAGAGCAAGAAAAAGTATTTTATATAAGAGCCTTGTGCTTCCATTCCTTCCACACTAGGTACTTCCTTATGCCATGCCCTTTTAAAGGCATCAGCTCCACTGAGAATTCTTTCTTCCACTGACAACACTGGCACCAAGCAAGATATACTACCACTGTGAAGGAAGAAAAGCCAGGAAGCATGGGCAAATAATAGCAGCTGCATTTGAAATCATAGAAAGTAAGGGTTGGAAGGGACCTCAGGAGGTCATCTAGCCCAACCACCTGCTCAGAGCAGGACCAGCCCCACCTAGATCATCCCAGCCAAAGCTTTGTCTAGCTGGGTTCTGAATATTGGGGCCAGGGCCAGCATAGGTTTCACAAGGCCTTATAAATGCTTCAAATATGTATGAAAACCTGTTTAATCTTTCCTCGTCTAAAAGCGTTCCTACTTCCACACTCTTAAGCCAACACTAGCTGCCTGTTAAATGACTGGGACATTCTCTGTATACCTGTTTATGAAGAGTTAATTTATAATCCCTAGTAGAGATCAAATGGGCAATTCCACCAAATAGTAAATAATGAAAAAGGCAGCAGTACAGAATCATATTCAAGAGCTTTAATTAGAAATTGAGAGGAAAACTGGACAAGACAACCACTAGAAATAATAATGAGGCTATTAGAGACCCGTAACTGTTGGATACATATGTAAAGGAACCGTGCAACCACACAGCTAACATAGGCCAAGGCCACCATTGGCTCTGTCTGTCCACAATATACAGAGTACATAAACAAGAACAGATTATGAAGCGTATATGAAGTTCTAGTATCATATAGCTGCCCGCATCTTTCAGCTGTAGACTGTAAGTGTCAGACATGCAAGTCCTGATCTGAAAGCCAGCACTTAAATTTACAGACAGTGCACAGCATAGTGAAATGATCAACAGTCACTAGTTTCTAGACTGAGCATTTTGAACAATATAGCCATCCATACAGGAGTCAACAAAAATTGAAAATTAAATATTTCACCACATATAGTATCAGCTTTAATTAAATTAGAAAAAAAATTCCTAACAATTCATTTGCTGAAATGCTACTTCAACCTTATAGATCTGTGTGTGTGCAATAAAAAGGTCTGATAATATTGTGCTGTAGCATAAAACCTTAATAAGTAATTTGATCTTGTCCTAATGTTTGTGGGCTTTCAGACATGAGTGAATGTAACCAGAATACCACAGCATAAATTCTCCAAGAAACCATCCATGAGCAACGAATGCTTCTGAATAGCTTTATGGCCTTCGGCTGTTGCACAGCAAATTTATCTGACAATTCTATGACTCTATTAGCAGGACTCTAATGGCTTGTTCTACACCATTAAAAAGCCAAATGTCGATTCTAAAGGCCCATGTACACAAAGTCTGAAATATATAAATCTCAAACAAATCTTAAATTTTCTTCTGTAGAAAGCATAATGTCATAATTATATTGAAATTGTAATAGAAACCCAGTTTCAACTAATAGCTGAATGCATTAAAATGCAGTTATGTGAACTCTCAATATTAAAAGTTAAAAACTGTGCAAATATTATATTCTATAGTTGATTAAACACTTAATATTACAAGTTTAAACTAACTATGAGGTAAGGAATGGAATGCAGTCCTAGTAACTAATAGCCACTGGGGCTTCATTACAGTTAGAAAATTGGGGGGTTAGGTCAGGTTAAAAATGGCCTCCTGATTTAAGTCAGTACTTAGATAGATGCCAAGAGCCTGATCTAAGGTAAGTCAGGGTAGGGGGAAGGACAGGCAGGACTGGGGCGGCGTGGGAGTGCAGGGAAGTCATAGGGGAGTTGGTGCAATGAGAGATGCTCTCCGATCCTGCCAAAATCTCCCTGCCCGCTCCCGCCCCTGCCCCCGCCCCATCATCCCCTGATGTGACTGAACTCCTCCCAGTCCCACAAACCACTCCCAGGGCAAAGTTTACCAGCATTCACCAGTGTTGGGAGCCTAACAAAAATAAGGTAACATGGGGGATGGGGCAGGCAGATGGGAAGGGTTGGTAGGATAAGGGGGCCTCTCTCTCCTCCCAACCACAAGCTATTTTTAGACCTCCAACCCCAGACAAACCACAACCCCCAGCAAACCAACTGCCCCTTATCTTTCCCCCCACAACTTGTTATGATCAGCTCACCACACCAGTCCCTTGCACCAGTCCCAACCAGCCCCACCCCAGACTCAGGAGGCACCAGTCACCCCTGGGAGGGAGGTCCGTTCTGGGGCTTCCCCAGGTGCCCTGTGGGGGGTAGATTGGAACTCCCCCAAAGTGGGCCCAAAGTGAAGGGCTCCAATCTACCCGCTCAAAAGCTGGGGAGCATCCCCCAGCATGATTTCCCTCTGCTCCCCTCTCCCCCTCCCATTCTGAAAACAGTGCTGGGGGCAGGGCTGGACTGTGTCAGTCTAACCCTATTCCTAGCACACACAGACACAAGTTAATGAAGGTGCTCTGCTTTAGAGCGCCTTCATTCAAACCCTCCTGTAATGAGGATTCAGATTGTCACAGGATTGGGCCCCTTTAAAATGCTCCACAGTTGTCCACTTGTCATGGCTGTAGAGCACTTTGAGGGCCAAATCAGGCAAAAATTGTCACTTCTGTCTGCACATTTAGTGTACCTCCATGGTACAGTTTAATTAGATCAGTTCAGCCATTTTTGACCACTCTAACCTACCTGGAACTTCTGCACAGTTCACACTTAGATCAACCTAACTAGGGATGTTAGTGTAAGGCTCACACATGGGTGAACTAAGTTAGATCGGGTGGCAATTTTTAACATGATTTAACCTCCCCCTAACCTCCGTTAACATCTGTACCTACCTTAAAGGTCTGCGTAAAATGAGAGAATAAATGAAATTACAGTCTCATATTGAACCCAGTTTTCAAACAGAGCAAATCACATCCAAGTTGTGCATGGAAATTAATATACAGAATCTTATAGACATAACTGGTTTATCTGCCAAAATGCCAGTTTTTGTCTCCAGCTCTGGGATCTGGACTTCCCTTTCAGACAGTATTTGGTAAGGGAATCTGCTGTTTAAAGTATTTGTGGCTTTTTCACATTTTTCTTTACTATCGGCTAAATTACTTCAAGGGCAGTCATGAATTTTTCCCCTCTCTCTCCACAACCAGGTTCCAACTACAATGGAAATGTTCTGCTGTTATGGGCCCGTAGTTCCCAATGGTTATGGTGCATGTTATAACCCACAGCCAGAGCATATATTATTCTGCATCTCAAGTTTTAAAGGCTGTAAAGAGACCTCCTCAGTCATATTTGCTAAAGCTGTGGAAGAAAGTCTCATTGAAATAAGAGATCTGTGCAACAAGTGCAACTCTGCTGTAGCAAAACCACTGGCTAAACAAGAAACTGCTGCAAAATGTCATAATGACCATAAGCACTAACCGTCCATGTGACCTGAACTGTTTCCTTTCCCCTGCCCTGCAATTATTTTTGAAGCTATTACCAGAAACATTTCATTGTAGAAGAAAAACATGTTTTATTTTGGGTATGGATGCTGCCAACATTTATCTAGAAAATAAGCTAGAAAAGCACTGAAGTTTCCAGTTTTTGCCCAATAATCAGCAATAAGGTTTGGTTTGATTAGCTTAACAGAAGATGACAATGATATGGATACATGCTAGACCATCACTTCTTTTCTATCAAATATCTAATGAGTTTAACTGTTTTAGTATGGGACATGAATTAAGCATCAAAAGTGTGACACCAAGACAGTCTGAAGGGTAGTATTTCTTAGCAAATCTAACAGATTCATGCATAGTCTTGCAGGTTTTGCATATAAGCGAAAACAAGTTCCCATATGTTTTTTCACCACTGAGTGCTACATGCAATATGCTATAAAGTGAGTGCTGTTAAATCTTTAAAATTTTGCTTTTGCTAAGTACTTAACATTACCATAGTATTTTCTATGTACAGGGAATATCATTAGCCGTGGTAATGTTGCCTGTTTCCACAAGCAAAATTGTATGTTTTTTTTAATGGTGACTGATGTTTAGTTTTATAAACACCCACAAATTGGAAGTAAATTCTGACAGATGCCTTGAAAGATGATAATATTGCCCCAGTTCCTGTTCATAAATGTTGCAAAAGCAGTATTAACCTGTATTTAAACCCAAGTACTGCATCATCAAACAACTGTTCCTAGTAAAAGCCAAAGTAGTAACTGACATTTGAATTGAGGAGTTCTACACTGAGAGCAGAATATCTTTTGCCCTAAATTAATTTACTTCATTATATCCTTCTATAACTAAGTGACATTCAGCCCTTTGTGCCCAGCATAAGCCCTGCATATCTCTTATTTCCACATTTTTCTCTACACAGGAATGATTCACTGTGACTAGCAAGAGTCATATACAAATTTAAGAAATTAGAGTGCTGCAAAAAAAGTAAACATTTAGAGGTGCTGGGCAAGATGAGGTAGTCCCCATTATATGAACTACAGACATGCTCAAAGTTTGAGAGTACATATCAGTCATTGCAGCTTCTGATCATCCCATTTGTTTTCTTTTCTTATTTTATTTACCATTAAGGTTACCATATTTCCAGTTCCAAAAAAGAGGCCACCTATTGAGGGGACACCTCACTCCCAACCCACAGCCCCCTGGGGCCCTGCCAGCACCTCTGACTCCCAAACAGCAGCCCTCCGTCCCTGCTGCTGCCCCTCACTCCCAAACCAGCCACAGACCCCTGGTCCTACCAGTGCCCTCACTCCTAACCCACAATTCCCTGTCCCTCCAGGCCATGCTGGTGCCCCTCACTCCTGATGCACAGCCCCCTGCTCCCTGCAACCCTGGGAAGCTGCCCCCTTCCCAACCAGGCCAGAGCAGGGTGACTCTGATTCATGTGGGTGGCAGGAGGAGGGAAGAGGAGGGGAAGCCTGTGACACCCCCTGCCCTGGGGTGGGCCTCTCACACTATGCCAGGCGGCCTGGCCATGCCCATCCCTCCCACCTGGGCGGCGTCTCCTGGTACCCTCTGCAAGCTCGGGTACCAGCCCAGGTGCTGCAAGCCCACAGAGCTCCCCACTGCCCCGGCTGGCTGAATGGGCAGGCGCATCTCCTCCTCCCTCCTGCAACCCCAGTGCTGCCAGGCTCTGCCCCCCC